AAATGTTCTACTAGACAAAAGTTTATACCCTTTTTGTGGTAGTTTTGCTAAGCTGTATCCTGTGAGCATAATGTGATATGTTATGCAAAGATTCCATGTTGAACCTGCAACCAAGCACTATATTGTAGAAAAGATTATAACATTCTCCTATCATTGAAGGTTTGTAGAATTTTTAATGACCCTAGATGATGCTGAGATACATAAGGCTTTTTGACTGCCTGAAATGTTCCCAGACTTCTGTTAGTGATTTTGCTCCCTTCTTCCACACACTAAATAATTAATATTTAGTTCAACTCCCAGCATCCTCCTTCCTTCCTCATGGTTCCATTCTACTGCTGTAACTTTAAAAGTACTGAAGAAAAAAATGCAGACGTTCACATATTGAAACCATGAGGCAACTAGGGATTACAAAAGAAAAAAAGAATTCACTTAATAGCCCTAAAATATTCCCATTACAATCTGTTCAATCTACTGATTTGATGACGACTGACGCTTCTAGAAGTCTGATCTGGGAATTTGTGTAATAGAGTAATCAAATTAACCAAATGTTGCCTGGTTGAAGATCATAAAGGGCTTACTTTCAAGAACTGGAAAGAATCATTTGTAAGGCTGAAAATCCTCTTTCTGGAATCTGGGTCCCGGCACGCTCTCCTGCCTGATCCAGCAGGATGGAGGTCATGTAGGTGAGGACACAGGAGCCTCTTCATACTGGGATGGACATTCTTTGACCCCTTCTCCTGATTCCCATTCTTCCCCTTAGAAACCCTATCTTTTCACAGGCTCAGAATTACCAAAAGACAAAGCCTCTTGAAGTATATCACAACTAAGGATTTAGAGAAATCACTTACCCGCCCAGATACAGGTGGTTCTCTCTGCAGTATTGGTTAGTAGAATGTCAGCTGCTGTGTAATTTTGTTTCTTAGTAGCCACGTTTTTAAAAATAAAGAGACAGGTGAAATTTATTTTAATAAGATATTTTATTTGACTCAATATTTAATGCAAATAAAATATTATTAATAAGATATTTTACATTCTTGAGGCACCTGGGTGGTGCAGCCAGGTGTCAAACTCACGGTTTTGGTTTAGGTCATGATCTCAGGGTCAGTGAGGTCGAGCCCCACATCAGGCTCCAGCTCAGCACAGAATCTGCTTGAGACTCTCTCTCTCTTCCCCCCGTCCCCCCCCCCATGGCACATGCGTGTTCTTGCTGTCTCTCTCTCAAATTAATCTTCTTTTAAAAAAAGATATTTTACATTCTTTCCTCTGTACAAAGCCCTCTCAGTCAGCCTAGACACAAGTCAAGTACTCAAGAGCCACATGTGGTGAGTGTCTGCATTGTTCAACAGTGTAGCATTAGACTAAGAAATACAGAGTGTGACAGATCCTTTCCTGTGCACATGATTATCCTCAGTCTTCAGTAAACATTGTACTTCTTTTCAGTAGTATGAAATGGTCTCATAAACTTATTCTGATTGGATACTAGCACTGATGACACATTTCTGTCCACTGTTTATATAAGTATCACACCATTATCTTTTTTCATGACTGACCTATAAATTTCCTCACATTTACAATTCAATGTAAGCTTAGCTAACTATTGGATTTCTTGGTATCATCAAAGTCCTCATTTTCTTTTTTTTTTAAGTTTTTTTTTTTTAATTTATTTACTGGCAGCAATCACAAGTAGGCAGAGAGGCAGGCAGAGAGAGAGGAGGAAGCAGGCTCCCTACTGAGCAGAGAGCCCAATGCGGGGCTCAATCCCAGGACCCTGGGATCATGACCTGAGCCGAAGGCAGAGGCTTTAACCCACTGAGCCACCTAGGCACCCCAACATCCTCATTTTCATTCTTCATTAAAACCAAAGTTTGGTCCTCTAGCTCTTTCCAAATAATCCAGCCTTCACATTTCATCCCTAGAGTGATATTCTAAAAGGCAACGCTAACCTTGCCCAACACTCAAAGATTATAGAAAAAATGTCAAGGCCTTCATAATTCGACCCCTGTCTGACTACCTCATTACATTTCCTTGTACTTTTCCTTTTAATACTTCATTTTAAAGTTGGTATACCCCATGAGTTCCTTGAGTATGACATGCTGTTTGGGCCTCCTCACCTGAAAACATGCTATTCTTTCAACCTAAAATGATCTTTCCTTTTTATCTCCCAGGTGAGTTGCTGCTCATCAGCTTCCAACTCAACTTTCCATCCAGTTCATTTGGATAAGTTGGTTGACCACACACTTGTTCCTTGAGGGTTGGGATGGTGCTCTATTATCTTTGTCACCAGCATCCAGCACAGCGTCTGACAGTGAAATACGTACAAGGTGTATATGTCTTGATCTAACCCGAATGTAGTACTAAACTTTTAGGTAGACCCAGTTGTAAATTATTATAAGGAAGATATATTATTTAAAAAGTCATTCCAAAAAGAAAAAAAATCCTCTATTTTAGCATTAAATTTAGTTGAATTCTATTGTTTTAATGGCAACATCAAACACTGTCAGTTTTTTATTTTCTTTCAATTCCAGTACATTTCATTTCCTTCAACTATCCTATCTATGAGGCCACAGCTATTGAAATCCCTGATAGAAAGAGCCTCGCCTATTGTCTCTGGAACACAGACCATAAATCACTTCATTAGATAAAAAAATAAATAAATAAATAAATGTAAGACGTGGTATGTCTCAAAATCATGCTGAGATGCTGGTGAGTTTTCAGAAAAAGAATACTTATTCTAGGCCACACATCCCAAGGAATAAACTGATAAGATTTTAACAAAATCTTATTCTGCTGATTCCACACAGTTACCCTACTTCAACAGTTACACAAAACAAACAGAAATAAAAGCCTCTGAGAAGTAGAATCACTTTTCCCAGGATAGTACAATTATTTGCTGTATAAACAATTATAACCAGACATAACAAGCTCTTTTGTTTCAAGCATTAGGTACCAGAGTGAGGATATTTCTTAAGGCTTATAAAAATTCTAGTTTTACAACTTCCTAGGAGAGGCAACCTCTCTAGAGAAGAGGAGAACAATGAAGGGTAATCAAAACAAGCTCTTCTTCCCTCTGTCAAGCTATCTCAAACGAATAAGAATAGATCCAGGGAACATCCTTTAATCTGGGAATACCATCCCTAACAGACAGGGATAGGGATGAACATCCCCCTTCCTGTTTCCTGTGATCCTCTCCGGATGGGGGAAATAGAAGCCGGTTGGGACTATTTACAAACAGAACAGAGCAATCAAAGAGAAAAGTTGGAAACAAGATTAGAGGCAGGACAGAAAGCCCAGCTGGCTAACGGTACCCCTCAATTAAATTGTTTTGTCAACAACGGCTCTTGAACTTCGTTTTTTAACCATTTCCTGTTTCTACTAAATCTCCCTGCAGTTTCAATCCCATGAAACCCATGCTTTCATTTTTTTAACAAGCATTGTAACAGAGCAAAAATAAACTTTTTTTTAAAAGATTTTATTTATTGGGGCGCCTGGATGGCTCAGTGGGTTAAGCCTCTGCCTTCAGCTCAGGTCATGATCCCAGGGTCCTGGGATCGAGTCCCACATTGGGCTCTCTGCTCAGCGGGGAGCCTGCTTCCCTTCCTCTCTCTCTGCCTGCCTCTCTGCCTACTTGTGATCTCTGTCTGCCAAATAAATAAATAAAATCTTAAAAAAAAAAAGTCTTTGGTATTAAAAAAAAATTTTATTTATTTATTTGACAGAGAGAGAGAGAGACAGTGAAAGCAGGAACACAAGCAGGGGGAGTAGGAGAGGGAGAAGCAGGCTTCCTGCTCAGCAGGGAGCCCTGTGTGGGGCTCCATCCCAGGACCACAGGTCAGGAGCAGAAGGCAGATATCTAACTGAAGGAGCCACCCAGGCGCCCCTACACATGTTTTGTTTTGTTTTTTTAAACAAAGATTTCTGTAAGGACCTACTTAGCAAGAGGCTTTCATTAAAGTTAAACGGTCCCTGCTCCCCTTCCCCCAGGGGATTCACTTAAAAACAAGTCCCAGAAACCAGCTCCAGGTAACAAAGCCCAGATACAAGGGTGGGTCAGGCCAGGTGGAGACATCTGATCAGTGGGGGGGCGCATACTGTCTCCCTGGTTACCAAGGAGTATGGGCCCCGCCCTTTGGGTGCCTTTTGGCCATCAATCCCAACCAAGGTGATAGACTGGGTCAAATGTCTACGAGGTAAATTGTAACTCAATGGGTCGCCTAGCATCACTGTGGAGTTTCCTGTGTGTGTTACAATCTCGTTGGTCACCTGTGCGTGGCCAGGCCCGACCGCATGGCCTTTGCCCTTAAAAGCTAGACTGTGAAACAGAGAAGGGTCGCCCTCTCTTGTGAGAGGTGCGTCCCTGAGGATTCGGTTAGATTCTTGACGCTTGGCGCGAAATAAAGCTTTGCTCGACCTTCGCTTTATATCAGTTTCGCTCCTTTAATCCCGGACCCATTATTGGGGCATAACAATTTCTACCTAAAGAAACGTTCTGGTCATTGACAATATGATGGAAACTGATCTGTTGCCGGCCCGCGTCTTGGCCTTCCCACACCGACCTATGGCGTTGGCTTTTTCAAAATCGCAGGATTTGAAAAGCCCGATTTCAAGCTGCGAGATTCTCTGTAAGTCATGGCCAGTGTTCGGATGCCAAGTCACCCTTACAAAGCACCTGGGCAAATACTTGGACCACCAGTGATCTTTTTTATTTTGAAAACTACTCTTCAAAATATAGGGTTTTGCTTTTTCAGTCAGTTCTTTCTTACGTAGAAAGGGGGTGCGAGTGAAAGTTTTATATACGGGCTCTCGAAACACTGAACTTCCTTTGTTCTGGTTTTGAAACTCCCCATTGACTCACTCAGTTGCTCCATGCTGATGGGCACTTAAGTCGAATTAATGTGATAGTAAACAGACTCCCCGGCCAGACGCATCAGCAAAACATAGCCCTCCTTTTACAAGGACATGTTCAGGTTTATTTTAACTATTTGGTTTGGGTTTTTCCACAGCTGCTGATATTTCTTGGCCCAGGTTCAGGGGCACAGGCGCCTTTGGATACACGTCATTTCTGGCTTATTCACGGATCCCAGACATCGGCTTCAGTTATGAATTCCACTTGAAGTTTCAGCTGGCAAATAATCACTCAGCACTGCAAAATAACTTAATATTTTTCACTGGACAGAAGGGCCATGGTAAGATTAATTGACCCCTCTAGGATTGGCTTAGCTCCTTTAAGAATACTTTGGAAATTCTTCCTCTTATTAGCTGTGGATAAAGGAGACATTTGCCTGCAAACAGCCTCCTCCTGTTTTCTGCCTCGAGCATGGTCCTTATAGTCCAAGGTGTTTAGACATTCCCTGACCCTTTCCAAAGCCCTGGTCACACCAGGGCTGCTGCTTATCAGCAAGGGCAAGAATTCCAGCAGGCAAATGTGAGGACAGAGAAGGTGAACATATGTCACATGAGAGATGAGCTTATTGACTTGTCCTTTCCCCTGTTTCTTTCTGTTTCCATATATAAGGAGGGAAGGGAAATTCTCAGAAGGGACATCATTTCACCATGTGTTGTGAAATGGGAATGGTTGCCCTCAAAGGAAACTATTCCAGATGAAAGAAGTAAGTAATTAAGAAAGTGCCCGGCCTGTAATAAAGGCCTCCAATGCCCTAGAATTGGTGGGAAATGAACCTACAAGTTAAATTTGTCTAAGTAGAAACCAGTTGTGCTTGTGTGGAATCAAGGAAAAGCGCGTATATTTGATTCCTGAGTCAGCAGCTAAGTAGTTAAACAATTAATCACCTACTTTCTCTGAGTTCAGTATTCTCACCTGTGAAATCAACATGTTACACCAGAAAGGAACCTTTCTCTCAACCATCAAGGATTCTCTCGTGCTAGGGGAAATAACATGTTCTCTTCTTTTTGACTGGTTCAGTGCCTTCCTCTAATTATGAACACTGGCTTTTGAATTAACACGTGTCTGAAAGGAGCCCACAGCCCAAGTGAAGGGTGGTGTGTCAGCCTCTGACCACTTCTGGGAGGATGGGGGGAGGGGAGCACTTCATCACGTGAACTGTGATCATTCCACCTCCAAAGTCCATTGGAATCTCTGCCCCATCTCTCCTGCGGGAAACTGCATGACCTCCTCCAACCTGATCTCCCTCCTGACTTTGCTGCCTGCAGATCCTTCTCCGATTACAGCAAGTTACTTTTTTAAAAACCTTACTGAAAACCCACCTGTGCCTTTCCACTCTACTTGGAATGCGGTCCAGACCTCTTCACCGTGTCCTCTGGGGGCCTTCAGAATCAGGCCCCTGGCTCTGTCTCCAACCTCCCTCTGTCTCTGTGCTCCTCCCCTACACATCTTCCAGTGCCTTAACCACCAAGCACTTGCCTGTCGCACGCAGAGGCTTTGTGCGGCTTATTTCCTCTGCTGTGACAAGAGATGGCTGCCAGAGGGGTCGAGAGCAGGCTGTGGGGCCCACACATGTAGACTTGGATCCAGTCTCCACCACCTACAGATTGTGTGTTAAGTTACTTAATGTCTCTGTGCCTCAGTTTCCTCCCTTGTCAGATGGTTTAATAACGGTACATGCTCTAATGGAGTTGTGAGGATTAATGTAGTCAAGACAGGAAAAGCACTTGAAACTGAGAACGGGGCTCAGTAATATGGCGGCTTAGATTTTCTCAGGTAGGCCGTCCCCAGCCACCTTCACAAAAGTAGATGCTATCACACTGCACCCATTCTCTGCCCCAGCTTCTTATTTATTTTCTTTAAAGCCTACCCCTCAATTTATTTTTTAGATAGTTTATCTTTGTCTGTCTCCACTGCTAGAATGGGAGCTTTATGTGGACAGAGACCAAGCCAGTGGTCTTTGACTTTATACACCTACACAGAGCACACTTGCCTGACCCACAGTCAGCACTGAATAATGAATACGAGAACCACCCTAAAAACAGATAATTGTATGATATGTAAGACAGCAACACAGCTGCACAAGGTTTTAAAAAGTAGCCATTCTTAGGGCTTTCCAGTCCAGATGCCATCTTCTCCATCAGGATTTCCCAGTGGCCACCCTCCTCCCACCCCTTCCAGCAGTCTCCCCTGCCTCTGAGCCTTGAGAACCTGCCAGGCACATAGAGCACAGACCCTTGATTACAAACTGGGGTTTGCTAAACTTCTCTCCTTCATAAAGACGGTGTCCCAGGTATCACTACATTGCCAAGAAGCCTCTCGGATGGTTTTAATAAATACCTATTGAGTGACTGCCAGAAGTCAGGGAGGAAGAAAGGGAGAGAAGACAGAATTTTTACCCCTGCATCATATGTTTATCGATTATACCCTTTTAATTAGCACCCCCTCCCCACACACACTAAAAAAAAAACAAAAACAAAAACAAAAACAAAAAAACCCTGGCTAATGAAAAATTCAAATAAGCATTGAAGACCTTGGCTCTGTCTTGTTTTAAAACAAATCTTCTAAATTCTGAAAGATTGAGAAGAACCCAAGGAAAGGATAAACACTTGGCCCACGAAAATGCTGCCACTGAGTAACTCTTCATTATTCTTCTATGAAGAGTCCTTCAAAATTCTCAAAAACAAACACGTGAAAAGCGAAGCTTTAGCCACAGCATTTGTAAATTGTGGAATCTTTCTTGTGACATTTTTTGGTCTTCTGTAGTCATCTGCTTTATAGGCGCTGAAAGCGCATGCTGCACTGCATTTTTAGGTATACACGATGGCTAAATAAAGGCTAGATAACAGTAGATGAGTTGTGGAGCTCTGTTGTCCAGAGCGAAAATGAAAAATCTGAAGTGTGCAGTTCCACATTCGACCACGTGAGGGAGCAAGAACACCAGTTTGAAAATGCAAGTAGCGCCAAAGAGCTTTTTAAGGCCGTGTTCTCTAAGAAGGACCTCTTCATGCCTGTGTCAGAATCACATGAGGGTGCTTGTTAAGATACTAATAACCAAACCCTCTTAAATCAAAAATCAGAATTTTATCAAGCACATTATGTGCTTTTTGTGTAATTAATATCTGGGAGCAACTACTCAAACCCTCCAGGGACCTGCTAAATTAGACCATATCTGGAGATGGACTGAGATCCGTAATCATTGTCCATAATGTCATATGTTGATATGACTTGTCAATTTACGTCACACAAAACTACTCATTAAAGAAATACACATTCCTTTAAAACATAATGATTCTGATTAATATCAACCATACAATTTCCAGTTGTCAGATCTATATAAGAAACTACGATCTAAGTCAGTGTTATCTCCACGCTTAGGTGTTTTTCTTAATCATTTGGTAACCTCAATCTCTGACCTGCTTATTGGTTGTTACCACTAAAATCACCATTTTCTATGCTGCCTTTATCTTTCTTTCTCAGGCTAAAAGATGCACAAAGCCGCGGAGTTTGTATAAATGAAATGTAAGCCAACCTCTAATTTCTGACACGTCCACATAAAAAGGCAAGGGACCTTCACTGCCCAACACTGATGACATTCCTCCCTGATTCCCCAAAGCTGGGCACTGATTTTGCCAGATTTCTTTCTCATTGAACGCTCTAGACAAAACACCCTTTCAAACATTTCAGCTTGAAAGTGTCTCACGTGACTTGCGATGGTAACCTGACTAATCCTATGCCCGTGTTTCTGCAGTCATTCTTGGCATTTCCTTTATTAGCTCTTCTTCATTCCATAGCTCCCACTCCCTTATAGTGTATGTCTTATAGTTTGACTTTTCTGGAAACCGTCACTACGTCCCACGGTGATCCACAAGTGATTTCATTATCTTCCCCTCCTGTCTCCCTTCTGCCGGCGACTGCCATTAATAAACATTCTGCTTCAGCTAGAAGCCCAGGAGTCATCTAGATTTCTTCCTTTTATTCATTTTGACAGATATGTGCTGAGGCCTTGATGAGGCATTCTTCTAGGTACTAAAGATACACTTATGAATAAGACAGACACAGTCTTTGCCTTGTCTTCATTTTGTCACCCACGTTCCACCCAGCACCAAAGTCTGTCCATTTTACCTCCCAAATCCTTTTTGTATTTTCTCCTTCTTTATTCTTTCTTCTCCTCATCATGCCCAGTCTATCACAGACTACTGCAGTCATGCCCCTCCTCCCCTCTCCTCCCCACTTTGCTACAGGGGATCATTCTAAACATTCAGATCCAGACTTATCTTGCTTAATCAGGATGCTTCATCACAACGTATGTAGCAAGATCCTTTGTATACTATGTACAGATGTTTGCCAGTCCCTGCCTATCACACAACCTCATTTTCCTTCACTCTACCCTATAGCTGGCTGCACTGGACACACGGACCTTCTGTGATGTGTCACTGTGTCCTCACTTCTGTGCTTGTGCTGGGCTGTTCCACCTTCCTGAGCCACCCACACGTCACTTGTCTGCCTCCAAAACACTTCTATCCTTTAAGCCTCAGCTCAAAAGATCATTCTTCTTTGAAGTCTTTAACCCTTCCAGGAAAATTTAAGAATTAATCTCACTGCAGTTTGCTGGAAACCAATATCCTATCTTCTTTTAACTGCTGGGATCTCTTCGGGGGTTCTTTTTTATAACAAGAGTGGCTGTCACATATAGACAGTCATTACACGTTTTTGGAAGAATGAAGGCAAAAATCCCCAGTCCCTGTTACCCTAAAACTAACAATCAATTCAGGGAGTCTGAATTGGTAGCAAAATTTTGTTACCTTAGCCCTACATCAGAGCTAAGAAGCCGTGTCTGGTGCACACAGCCTCCATCACCTGTCTAATGCGTGCCGGGAGCATAGACATCGCTGAATGAAAAGAGGCATGTAACTGACACAGAAGATGGAATTCAGAAAGCAGAATGCTCATCCTAGGAGGAGGATCAGGGAGGATCCATGTGCATGTTTCTCATTCTGTGCCTTCCATTTCCACCAGTCCTCTATAGTTAGTGCGAGAGCAGCCCCGCCAGCATCCCCGTTCCCATCCTCTCCCAGCCTGGGCCCCAGCGAGTCCCCAGCCTGATGTCTGTGTAAGCAGCCAGTTTACTTGCCCCCATTCACTCTCCCTTCAAAGCTTCCTCTCACCTGGAATGCCTGACCCAGTTCTCTTTACCTTTTCCAGTTCTACCCAACATCCTCTGATGAATTCGGGGCTCCTTATAGCTATCGACACAAAGCCTATGTACAACTTCTAGTTTAT